CTCATAACTCATGAAGCTATATTCTCAACATGGAGATTAGATCATCATTTGCATTGTTGCTAGCTTGTTCGTTAGCTCTTTTAACTTCTTCACCAATTGCAGCCGCCGCAATAGTCAAGCATTCTTTAATTGTAATTTACTTCCCGATGATCATTATCCCTTTTAGTTTTAGGTTTCTTTTTTTTTTCCTTTTCTCCTTTTGATTTTCTCAACTGTCGACTTGCCGATTGTTTTAGTAGTTTAGAAGCCTACATTATGATTTACTTTTTTCTAATTAACTTTTTCACGTGTTATTTTTTGTAGTTCTTCCTCATCCTCATGATCACCTTATAAGATTCGTTATATTTTGGTTTTTTTGTTTTTTTTTGTTTATCCTTGTTCCATTCTCAAGTACTAGTCCAAACAAACTACACCCTCGACAATATTTTCTCTAATATTTATTCATAGTTTGCAACGCACACAATATACATACATATATATATATATATATATACATATATGTTTTCTTATAAGAACGTACTACTATCAATAAACAACGTTAGTTAGTTATATATATTATCTTTGGATTTTTAAGCAATCACAATTATTATCAACTTTATAGTATATGAAATTTGTGACTAGCTGGAAAACGAGTACGTAATAACAAATGATGGATTTGTGTACTTCTCCTCTTTATTATAAAGTAGATACGTTCCCAGAGCTTAAATATTTACTTGATCATTAATTATACTAACTAATTAATTTTTTTTGTTTCTATGTGGTTCGCTCAGGTGAAAAACCTAACCGTCAACTACTTGTGTAAAGAGAGTAATAACTGCAACAAATGGAAGTTTGCCAGGTCCCACAATAAGCGTACATGAGGTTTAGGGTCTTGAACCAGTCGCCATACAACGTCACTATTCATTGGTAAGATTGATCAGTTCACGGTTTAGTGTGTGTGTCTATATACTATATATATATATATATATATATATATATACACACACACACACACATACATATACTGTGATAATTAGTTCACGGTTTAATTAGTACCTTAAAAGAAATAACTAACGAAATAGTCGCTAGTCAGTTGATTTATCGAAATATTATTTTCAGCACTCTTTGACTTTAATGATTAATCACATAATTGGTCACAACCATGATTGGAAATTACTATTTTGATACATACTGTAGAAAAATATTTGTAATACATACGTACCATGCTGCTCTATGTTTTCCTCCATGATGCAAACCAACTAACTTGGATAATAAACAATTGATTTGAAGGTTGAATTTTAGTTACTACGTATATCTTTATAATATATACGCATAATTCTAATAATTTGCTTAGTCTTCTTTTATTGTATACTGATATCATCAATCCACTTCCTGCTAAGATAACTAAATGGAACATTGTTAGGTAAAATCATAAATGACAATATAATAGCTTGATTAAGTTACACTACTTTATTCTAATAATGTCAATACCCTTTGGTGGCATGCCCACTCCTCTTGGCTCCGAGCAACCGTGTATGGAGCTCTCATCATCTACCCGAGATCCGGGCAATCCTTTTACCCGTTTCCTAGACCCGAAATGGATATATGCATTTTATTGGGTATGTCACTCATGCAATTTCTTTCTTTCTTTCTTTCTTTCTTTCTTTCTTTTGTTTTTTCTTTTCTTGAAAGCAAAGTAAAGAGAAGAATAAACTGAAACAAACTTTAGTACATTCCAACAAAATTGAACTAAAATCGTTACCCCACGTTCATGTGCTTAGAAATTCTCAGCTAAACATAATTTAAGAACTAAAATGATTGAAAATTGCGTACGTGACCCGATACTTTTGTAACGCCAAAAGCTCGTACATGACACTTTTTGATATAGAGATAAAATCATTTTAGTACCCTCTAATACTATAACAAAACATCTCGTATGTACCTTATCTTTTTAATAATTTAAATCATTAATATTAGAATTATAGGTTTAATTGGTTACACGGATAACTTATTGTTTTTTTTTTTTTTTTTGAATAATATAGCTGTTGTGACCCATTTAATGAAAAATATTGGCAAGGGCACAATAGACATTTTAGGTACTAAAAATCAGGCTTGAGTACTAAAAAAACATTCTAAAATCTAAAGGTACCGTTTTAATAGTATTAAAAAGATGAAGTACCTGCAAGATGTTTTGTTATATTAGATGGTACCAAAATGATTTTATACTGATGTGCCTATTAATTTGTAGTAATTATATATGCCATACTATTGACATATATAGAGCATACACGAAAGGATTTACATAGCAATAGTATAATATCACTATTGCAAATTCATATAGTAATATTGCTAAAAACGATTTACATACATGGATATATACGTGTGAAAATTGCAGGACTCCCTACTAATGTTGTGATTCCCAAAATCACTCTCTATGCTACAAGCGTTCTTTTTATGGTATAAATCAGCGGGATCTACACCACTGATTTCCCAAACAATCCTCCAGTGAAGTTTTGATTACACAAACTTGAGCCTTAGCTTTAACCAATCTTTGCTTTTCGCGCCAAAAGTAACCAAGGTCAAGAAATTGAAGTACAACGCGGTTGTGGAGATTGTGTTTCAAAACACAGCCCTTGTCGGGATCGAAAGCCATCCTATTCGTCTTCATGGTTTCAACTTTCACGTCTTGGCTCATGGTTTCGGCAACTGTGACGCTGCTGAGGATTGTAATAAGAAATTCAACCTCATCAACCCACAAAGTCGAAACACAATTTCTGTGCCAGTCGGTGGTAAAACGACAATATGGTGATGGAATGGTTTTTGCACTATTATTCACTAATTCTGTGTGTGTATATATATACAATTACAAAGCTGATTCTAAAGAAACAAATATGGTAACAAATATGTACAGCTGCTATGCTACAGATAGACCATTGACTTATATTTACAATGAATGTCTTGAATCATGGATGAGATACGGTGAATCATGAATGGTTATTTGATTTATCAGGTGGTTGGGCAATTGTCAGATTTCAAGTTAATAATCCAGGTTAGTTCATGGTAATATTATTTTCACTTTTTGAATTTTTCTGAATAGTTTTGTTTAGACAAATGTCACAAAATAAGTTTTATGTGAAATGAGTGCTAAACTCAGACCTTCGTTCAAACTCTTTTTCTAACTATAATATCTTTTCTTGCCGCTTGTTAGATTAATTTTGCTTCATAAATTTATCCAAAAATAAGTCACCATTTGATAAACCATTTACATAAATTAAAATACGGCCCACAATTTATTGATAATGTAATTTTTATACGGAAAAAAAAAAGAATATATCGTATGGTAAGTATATTCAATTGTTCGTTTGTATAAATATATATTGGGTAATTAGTATTATTAGCAGTGATATTTTAGTTTCTAAACTTTTAATTTTTGTGTATTAGTTCATGAACTTTCATTTTTTGACAGCCTTGATCCCTAACAGTACTATTAACCAATGATCGTTGAAATTTAATAAAGATAATCATGTGTAATCGCGCGGTAATTTAAAATATCAAGAGAAGAATTACATTATATGCAAAATTTATCTTCATTACTATTAAAATATGTTGAAAGTTGTATCATTTTGCACTTACTATAATTATTAAGGTAAAACTGTCGGCCATTATGCGATAAAAATGAGATTATCAACATTAAATTTTAGAAATTGTTCATCTATATTAGGGTCTAGAGATTAAAACTGTTCAAAATTGAGAATTCATGGACCAATATGTCAATATTAAAAGTAAAGAGCTATGGTCCATATTAAGAGTCAAGAGTTGAAAATGTCACTATGTTCAAAATTAAAAGGACTAGCACCCTTTTATATACTTTACGTGTTGTGGGATTTGTCTATGGCTTTTGAGGTTGAGAATGGACCCACTCTCAGATCAACGCTTCCTCCACCACCGCCAGACCTACCAAAATGTTAGACGGCTGATGATCGTAAATAAACCTCTGTTTCATAAGGAGGAAACAAAACAAAAAAAAAATTTGTCGTCCTTCGATCTGGGATAGATGAAGTGAACAACACTTTTAGCGACGACATGAGTATCTGAAATATTTTGTTGGATTTTTTCTTGATATATCCTGCCTAATAAGCTTTTTAGCGACGTCATAATCGTCGCTAAAAATTAATGAAATTTTGTGGAATATTTTGGCGGTAAAAGTTAGATTTTCTACCGGCAGAAAAATTTTTAGCGACGACTACAAACTAAAAAAAATAATGTTTGCGGCAATTAAAAAGATGCTGAAAATTAATTAACTTTGTAATCAATTAATTAATTTAATTAACTCCAAAAGTTATTTTACTATAAATATGGAATTGCGTTCTTAAAATTATGGATATATACTTACTTTTAAGAATGTGAAACGTCTATTTATATTGTCATTACATCTAGATCGATCCTCCATAAATAATTCGTAATTAAAGTTAGGTAGAATCCGTTAGTCTCTTTAATTACATCTCATCTTTATTCTTGAGTACCATTGATTCTCCAATGAATAATACATTTATGAACTTATTCACGAATTGAAGGCTCTTACTATTCAAGATTGAATCAAAACTCAAGAAAATTAGTTATATCTACTTCTTTATTAAAGAAGAAATGAATTACATCTATATTAATATTTCTGGCTATTTACTTTATCATGTTTCCAAGGAATAGAATTTAGTCTGGTATTCTTAGAGGTTAATTTAGTCTGTTTTTTCTTTTGGTTTGCTTAGCGTGGTATTGTTACAGGCTAATTTGGTGTGCCTTGTCGCGGGTTAGTTTGTCGGGTGTGGTTGTTTTGTGTTTTCTCTTGAATTTGGTTGGTTGTTTGTATCCTTTGGTCGCTTCTTGCGCGTTTCAATGAAGTTGTCTTTTAGCAACCAAAAGAGATAGAGAGAGAGAGAAAGTGGTACACCTAAAAATAATAATAATTTACACAAAGAAGAAATCAAATCCGAAATTTTTTTATTTGTAATCAAACAATACAAATATTCGCTCTTCAAATAGAATGTGTAACAAAATCCCAATCCCAACAATCTTCAATGCCACTCTTCAAATAGAATATTGTTTCACAGCCCCAAATCTCCTTTCACTCTCGATCTCTCTATATAATAATATGCTATTTATTATTCCCTAATTTACCCAAAAAAGAAAAAGATACAAGGACAATAATGTAATTACAGGGGAGCAGGTGCAAGAGCGGCCGTGTGAAGCTGTCCTTCCGTGGCCACAGGTCCGGGGGCCGCGCCAGAGCTCATAAGCTCCACCATGACTCGGTGAGGGCTGTAGCGTTGTTTCTCACACAGATCAGGCAAGAAAACTCCTGCAAATATTATATTAATTTAATTTACAAATGTGCATATAATATGTTAGTTGTATATTTCAGAACAAAACAAAAGGTTACAAAATTAAAGATGAAAAGGTCAATTTGTTCTAGATTGTTAAAATAAAATAAAAAAAACTTATAATACTTTGATTGAATGAGAAGAAAATATATTCCAAGTTAGGTATATAAGAATGTCACACGTCCAAAAAATAGCCTTAATATAATATAATATAAAAGTTGTATGTGTGAGTGTGTGTGTGTAGATCTAGACAGAGCACTTTACATATGGTGGAGATGATTATAATGCTGCATGGGTAGAAGTATATAAGCATGCATGTGTATCATGCAGATTTTTTCATATAGCAAAATTTCATGTTTTAAAGTGTTTATAACTTCATTAATTTTTCCTTCTCTTTCCCCAAAGTCAACTATTGTCTTTGACAATTCCATATTTCATCCTTTCAATATATACTTTTTTGTTTTTTTGGGTCAAACTCTCGACCTTCAAATGGTTGCACACGGTCTTACCAAGTCTTAATTAGTATCCAGTTTCCATATGAAAAGCTAGAAGAAAAGTTTGAGGTTCTTAATTTTATTTACACAAATATGACAAACAAATTAAAAAAATTCTCGATATCCGTTGACTAGTCATCATGTACGTACAAATATATATGTGTATGTATGTGTGTGTATGTATATATATAATTATGATTATACACCTAATATATATGTACAAAAAATATATGTAATTATTTTAATTTGAATATAATCACCATGTAGAACATTCCTTGAGCGTATATCAAGAAAATGGCATGTCCCAAGAGGCTTCAAAAGCACTAGTAATATTTTTATATACTTATTATTAATTGGGGAGTACAATAATGAAAACATATTCTTGTGTATAGATCATTTTCTTTTTCGTTTTTGTTCAGAATAGAAATGATGTTCTTGCCTCAAGATTAATTAAAAACTTTTTATTCTTTTATATATATATATATATATATATATATATAAACTAGTTAGTACGCATACGCGAACGTGACATTTTTTAAAACAATGCTTATACAAATTGTTGGGGAAAAAAAAGAGAGAGAAAGAGAAGAAAGAAAAAGAAAATACATAAGATATTTGGGCCAGAAGCAAAAAAAAAAAAAAGAAATGAGAAGAAATAAAAATAAAAGGTGAAAATAAAAAAAAATATGGGAGGACAATTAAGAAAAAAGAAAACAAAAAAATTGAGAAATGAAAAAATGTGGGAGGACAAAAAACAAAAACCAAAAAAAAAGAGTTTCGCCAAAACTCGGCAACCACCCCAAAAATTAGATTGATCTCGTTTATATCATGTATGTAGAGATATATTATCGTCAAATGTGGAATCACCACATATATGAAATTAAATTAAATCAACTTACCCTCTCCGGCAGCCAAATTGAAGTAAAGGTCAACAATGTTGGGGCAGTTTTGATGACATTCCTGAGCGCAAAGCTTGGCCATAAACTGAGGCTCAAGAAGGGAATCAGATGAAATGCCAACAGATTTCCTGTCAACCCCGCAAGCCTCCACACACCGATCCGTCTCAATGTACTCAGCCATCCTCTCCACCACCACCTCCGACGTCCGGCATTGGTGCTCCACTCTCCCGTCTTTCCCCGCCGCCGTAGTCTCCAACAAACACCTCTTCCCCGATGACGCTATCGCGAATGCGCAAACATCCAATGGCAATTCCTCACACACAATCTCAGCTAAAAAATGAAAAAAAAAAAAAAAAAATTAAAATGTTTGTATTACAATATGTCATAATTATAATTAATAGCACAAAAATGTTACAAAACCTCATGAAATTTAACGATTTAAAAATATTTGTATTACAATATAGGGTACGTAAATTGTTACACCGCAGTCGTATATATAAAACAAAATAAAATTAAAGAAAAGGAAGAATAAAGAACATGTGTATGTATCAAATTTATACATATATATATATATATGTATGTATACACACGTATATACATATGTGTACCTAGAGCTGCATGGATGAAGAGAGAAGAGAGGAAGAGAACAACAGGTACTTTAGTTGAGAAAGCCATGATAAATTTGAGTGCAGGATCAAAATGGAAAATTTTCTTGTATTCAGAGAAGGAAAAGAAATATTTTGTGAGAGAGAGAGAGAGAGAGAAAAGAGGAAAGGCTATATGGAGAAGAAGGTATCTTCGATGAGACCAAAAGGGTGCAAAAAATGACCTATATATAGCAAGAATATGAGCTTACGTGGTTGGACACAAGTTTAAGATTCCTTAACTCCTAATAACTTTAGCTTAATTAGATATATTTAATAATATTAACGCGTCTCTATCATTTATGTTAAGGACAACGCGTTTGTGGGGCGAATTTGAAATAACTAGTCTAAGTTTGGTGGAGCTTGGAAGTCCCTCTTATTTTCTCAATAGAAGAGCCCCCACTTGGCTAATCAATATTATTTAGTCCCATTTTAATAGTTAATTTGATTTTTTATTTCTTGCTCTTTTTTTTGGCTTGTATCTAATTTCGGTTTTTGGAATTAAATATTATTAATTTATTTTTAAGTTTTTGTTTGGTTCGTGCTTTATTGTTGACGGTACTTTAAAGACGTGTAACTATTGGATGCCTGCATGTTGAAAGTTAAAATTTCTTTCTTTTTTTTTTTTTTTGTTGTTTTTTTTTAAGGAAAAAAATTGGTCTACTTTCTCTTTTTTTTTTTTTTGGCCAATTTTGATAAATTGGTCAACTTTGTGTTGTTTGGCTTTCTTTGTCGTTTTGGCTTCTCGGGTCACCTTCGAAGCTTCTAAGAATTAGAGAATTGCTGAGAAGTCATGCAATAGTGTAAATGTTTGGATGACTTTCCGTGTTGTTCATTAGTATAATCCATCAATACCGTAGACTCTAGAACGATCATTAATAAAGTTCGTAGAAATTAAGTGACAGTAACTGGGAGAAAACGACACAAGAACGATATCATGAGCTTTTCTTTATTCTTTAACATTCCACGTTCCAACTTCCAAAGTAGTTTCATCAGAATAGTAAATATGAAGAGAAAAGAAGAAAGAAAAAAAAAATAGCGTGACAAATGAAAAGTAGGAGTAGCTGACACGTATGCACGTGATTCTGCTAATCAGTTCCTTAAACTTTGCTTAATCTAATACTATGATTACTAAAAATATATATATATAAAACATTCCTATTATGTTCTAAATAGAAATATGAGGTGGAGCTAATAATCCAACACTACAAAAAAGTTTTAATGTACAATAATCCTTACATTTATGGCACATTTACTTCGCTGATTCGAATTTTTAATTTGAGTTTAAATGTAACTTTATGTGAGAGCTTTTTACTGTAGTAAAAAAATTAAATGTGATTATTTCTTAGAATAGCAAGACTCGAATTCTAAACTCGAATCGGTGAAATAAACGGGGTCTTAATCATGCACAGCATTTAAATATTTTTATTTAAGTATATTTTTACTAGTCCAAACGTATTTTATTGAGAGAGCTCTGAAAGTAGCTGGGTTACCACAGCGGGTGCAACCATCCTAAAAAAACCAAACCCCTTAAACTTAGAGGCCAAAGACCAATTACTCAAGAGGTCGGAAACAGCATTACATGATCTGGGAAACCAATCAAACGAAAGAGTAGAGAAAGATTGTCTTAGACTAAGAGGACGTTTGTTTCCTATATTCGTTTCTGATTCTGAATCATGATTCATGGTTATCTACAGTATTTTCTCTCACAAAAAATACACGTAAGACGAGAATAGTTCTGAATCATGATTCTGAATACATAAACCAAACGTCCTCTAATACAAGACAAGAAGGTTGGAGTTGCAATCCATTCTGGACACTGATGGTAACCCAATTGAACTTGTAACTCACTTTTCATAATCGGTATCTTTTGCGACAAGAAAACAGGGATACAAGAGTCGAATCCTCCGTCTATATGTTCATACCGTTCTCATATATAGTTTTGCTTAATAAAATTAAGGACTCGTTCATTTCACCGATTCAAATTTAAAATTTAATTTTTATTACAGTAAAAAACTTTTAAAAATAATCATATCTAACTTTTTTAATACAGTAAAAAACTTTCACATAAAATCACATCTCAACTCGAATCAGTGAACTAAACGGACTCATAAACATAAAATTTAATTTCAAAGTTTGAGGTTGTTATAAGGCAATTTCCAATTATTTATTTTCAACAAACAACCCTGTTGTGAGCATTGAACATAGACTAGGTCAGCTTCCCTATATGACTCCATGTAAACATGCTTGCACATCTCATCAAAGTCACGAAGGAACAAAGAAAGAGAGGAAAACCGATTCCAGAGAAATTGGAAGTGGAACAGTATTATTGGTACGTGAAATTGACTTTGACGTTTTTTTATTTGATTTACAAGCTGTCTTTCCACGTGTCCACTTTTGAGTGGGTGTGAAGGTACGAAGTTATGTACGCGGCAACTATTCCTTTGTGAAAGAGTTCACATCTCTTGTCTTCATTTTTTTGGTAATTGTCTCTTTACTAATTAATTTAAAATTTAAAATTTTAATGACATAAATAAAAATAAAATATTTAAAATATTTAAATAAATTATGAGGTGTTAAATTTTAATTATGAGACATTTATTTGTAACAAAAAAAATAAAACAACCGATCGTGATTATAAAAATATACCTTCCAACAAATAACCATCTAAAAAAAAAAGGAACATTTGGTCATTAACTTCATAGACGCGAACTTGCGAAGTTTCTTACTCGCAATAACACCAAGTCACATCTCTTCAAAAAAATTCAATAAATAAATAAAATAACATCAAAGCCACAGTCCTACACATAGAAAAAAAGAGGTTGGGTTAGAATTGGTTTTTACCTTGACTAGTGAGTACATTATTGCATCAAGAAATTGAGATTAACGTCCCTTTTCATAGAAGATAAAGAAATTAATTAGTATTCTATATGTCCAAACATTCATTCTTTCAGTCACAGTGACAGTGACGGAGCGAGAATCTATTAATAAGGAGGTTAAAATTTTTTTTATTAAAATTATACTAACATGTATATATATGTAACAGTTTTTATTTAAATGTAGAGAACTATTAATTTAAGAGGGTCAAGTTTAATTTTTACACATACTTATTATATTAAAATTAAAACCACTATATAAAAATAAAAAAATAAAAGTAAAAAGCTAGGGGGCATGGCGCCCCAACCCCAACCCCGTCTGCGTCACTGCTTTCAGAAAATATGCATCATATAAAATCTCAGCTATATTTATGTTGATCTTAATCTAAAGGTCAATTAACATATCGCTTTAATTCGAATTCCATACAAATTCGACTTAGGTATTTTGACCATACAAAAAAAGTACCTTAAGTGAATGATTGGTGGTTCTTTTGGCTAGAAACATTCACTTAGGTATTTTGACCATACAAATTCGACTTATTATAAATTCATTCAAGTGCACTGGGGCATTCATCGAATAAAAGTATATATCACCCCTCCTTGCTCGAAAAGGTAAAGAAATTTAAGGGAGAAAATTTACTTTTCTTTTTCTGTTGTCTGTGATGTTATAAACTCCAATAGGAAAATTAGTAGGTATCGTAGGGTAAAATGCCGAATCTTAAATTAAATATTGTATGGGGCCAATATGTCATAAATAAGGGCATTAAATGATCAAGGATAGTTCAGCCTTAACTACCACATCAGCGGGCAATTCTCTTAAGAGCAGACTGCTAGAAAGAAGTATCAGACATACGAAAGAGGTCGATTATTCTAAAAAGATAAAGGATGACATGAGGTTGACCGTACCTGCAATCGAAGGTGAAGATGGTTTTGGGAGCATTTACGAAGTCGAGGCTACGAAAGGCAGGAGATTTACGAGATTAGCTCCGAGATTTGCTATTTGAAATTCGAATATATGAAATTTGAATAAAAGAATCGTCCTGATTGATTGTAATCTCTATCTTTTAACAAACTTTCACAAAAGATAAGGGAAACATCTCCGAATTAAATAGGAAAACAAGCAGGGGTGATGATCAAATATATAAATAAGGGATTGTAGGTCAAAAAAGGTTAAAGACTCATTCTGAACATTAGTGCATGTAATTTCTCCAAATATAGTGAAATTTCTCACCTCCCCATAGTGGGCGTAGCTCTCCAATCGAGGGTGAACCCTATAAATTCTGTGTGTTCTTGTTTAAATTCCGCTTTCAATTGTGTTTTAGATCATTAAATTCACCCCAAATCGTTTAGAAATTCGTTATTATTTTGTTGATAAATTTTCACCGTCAACAGTAGGTATCAAAAAATACTCTACTCATTAGTCTAATTAAATTCACATATTGTTTCCGTTGAGGGTAAAGTCATAACACTTCTCACTGTGCATGTGTCAATTTTACTCAAAGAGTGTCGACTAGAGGAAGTGTATGACCTCAAAACGAAATCATTGTCTCCTATCAATAGATTACACATCTGATTTTTATCCCAGCTTCTCTCTCTAATTTCTCTCTCTAAATCTCTTCTCTTGTCTGTGAACCCCAAGACCCTACAATAGGCGTAGCCTACACAATAAAAATCATCAACCATTATTAATCTGTGTGTCTACTATTCTATTTACTTTTCTGCACTTTTGCACTCTCGTTCTAACCTCCGATCGACTCAAGATCAATTGACCTATACTTCCCGTCAATGCCTAAAACGTTTAATTATAGAATTAGCCTTCTACAGTTTCAAATCATCATCAAAATTAAGAGCGTGTCAGATTTAATAAATTGTGATAATTTAATAAAACTTGCTTTAAATTTTACAATTAAAATTTATGTCTTACTCATAAATTATTTTTTAGTACTACTAAATTCTCCAAACAATTAAGGATCTTAAAATAAATAAATTCAACTAGAACATAAAAGAATTTTAAGAGAACTATAATTAATTCTCTCCTTAATCAAAAGAGAGATTCTCGCGGGGGGGTGGTAAAGTCTCCAAACAATTAAGGATCTTAAAATAAATAAATTCAACTAGAACATAAAAGAATTTTAAGGAGGTGGGAGGGATAAATTATTTTTTAGTACTACTAAATTCTCCAAACAATTAAGGATCCTAAAATAAATAAATTCAACTAGAACATAAAAGACTTTTAAGAGAA